GTAACCCACGAGCTCACTTAAAAGATTTCATTGTGAAAAGTATATATTGTCAAATTAAAAATGGCAAAAATAGCGTTAATAATTAAAATTCGTTATTTTTATATAATAATTATTATTTTACCCAAATCGCGATTTTATATGTTTAAAAAAGGCAAGATCTGTATAAACCATTTCAGGCATGTGATGATGTGTATTAGTATGTGTTAACATTACTAATACTACTAATACTAAAAAAGATCGTTTTTCTTTAGAAAAAAATCTATATACAACCCGATAAGCTGGACTCCAATCAATTGTTTAATGTTAAAGAGTACTTGATAATGACAGTTTATTGCCTAAATTTGTCAAATTTGTCGTAATTACATCATAAAATCTAAAAAAAACAAACAATTATGCACCATTTTTTTCTAGAAAATTAGATCAATACATTTTTATTGTAATGAATCTTTTCCCCCCAAAAAATATTTTTTGCAATGTTTATAAAATAGCGTTGAATTTTATTATTAAACACTATGATAAAGAAAACATAAATATATTACATATCGTTTTCTGCTTTTTAACACGATATATTTCGAACTTATAAATACGATATATTCCGAATTTAAAAAACACGAAAATTATTATTTTCTGTGAGTGAAAAAAATAATATTTATAATATAATGGCTGGAATGGCAATTAATTTAATTCATTTAGATGAGGTGTCAATCGTTGCAGCTATTCTTGGAAGTTTTATTATTTGCTTTGGACTTGTTTCATTCTTTGTTAAAGAAAAATTACATTTATCAGAAGCATGTAAGAAATACATTATTTAAAGTTTATTATTTATCATTTATTTGTGTTATTTATTTATTTTCTTAATTTGATTTATTAGTTGTTGCTGTGTTTGTTGGTATAATTCTTGGACCTGCAGCGTTAAAAATATTTGATCCTAACAAGTGGGAAAACACTGATGAAGTAACACTTGGTTTTACTCGAATAGCTATGTCGATTCAAGTAACTATTAATAATTATATTCTTATTTTTGTTATATTATTATTTTAATGATTATTATTAATTAATATTTATTTAATAAGGTAATGTTTTCTGGTGTGGCATTACCAAAGTAATTTCCAAGTTACATTCATTACTTAAAAGCTGATTCAACAGCAATCTATTTCAATTAATTACTAATTATATATTGTATCCTCTTTCGAAGAGCTTACCTTTTCAAAGAAATGAAATCATTGTTTGTGTTACTTACACTTGTTATGACTTATATGTGGCTTGTCAGTGGCCTATTAATTTGGGGATTAATACCAAATCTTTCATTTGTAAGTTTTATTTTAATTGATTGCTGGCTTTTTTATTTGTTTTCTTTGTATCGAATTTGTTTATTTATTTATTTTTTTTCTATAGTTGGAATCTTTGGCAATTGCTGTTTGTATAACACCTACAGATCCAGTATGTAAAAGATGATCTTTATATATAATTAAAAAATTTTATAGAAAAAATTTAAATAATAATTTTTATCTGTTTTAGATTTTAGCAAATTCAGTTGTTAAGGGTAGATTTGCAGAAAAACATGTCCCAATACATGTAAGAAATATTTTATCAGCTGAAAGGTAAAAATAAAATCTATTGTTATTACCATTATCTTATTATTATCACCATTATTTTATTAATTATTCAATATTCTTGTGTTTTGAACAGTGCATCTAATGATGGACTTGCATACCCATTTTTCTACTTAATTATCTTTTTATTAAATGAACCATCTGTTGGGACTGCAATTGGTAAATGGATTCTATTGGCATGTCTTTATCAAGTTGCATTAAGTATTGTTATAGGAATAGTTGTAGGGTATAGCGCAAAAAAATTATTATATTTTTCTGAAAAAAGGTGGGAAAAAATTTTGTCTTTTAATTATTTAAAAATTGAATTAAAAAAATATAAATTCATAATTTACACTTTGTTTCAAAAATATTTTATAGACAATTAATTGACAAACAATCATTTTTAGTATTCGCAATAGCTTTAGCTGTAAGTTCCATTAAAAAATATTTAGCAAAATAATCATCAGCATTATCATTTAAACAATTAATTGATCAATTATTATTTAGTTTTTTGTGATGGGTTTTGTTTCGATAATTGGCAGCAATGAATTTTTAGCTTGTTTTGTTGCTGGTGCAGTATTTTCATGGGAGTAAGTATTATTAATTATTAGTTATACTTATACAAGTATAGTTATATTGTCATTAATAACTTGTTATCTTTATTAGTGATTGGTTTAGAAGAGAGACAGAAGAAGCACATTTACAAGAAGTTATTGATATGTTGCTTAATTTAGCAATTTTTGTTTACATTGGTGCAATTATACCTTGGTCAACATTTGTTGGTGGCATAACTGAAATAACATTATGGAGATTATTTGTATGTTCAATATTGATCCTGTTGTTTCGTAGATTACCTGCTATTGTAGCATTGATGCATATTATACCTGCAATTAAAACTTATCGTGAAGCTGTTTTCACTGGATGGTTTGGTAATTATTATTGTTTATTATTATTGGTGTTGTTGTTTATGTGCATGTGTTTGTATATATTATGTAAACATTTTACTAATAAATTAATTTTCCCAATTTCATATTTTTTTTATAGGACCAATTGGCATAGGTGCAATTTATTATGCTATAAAAGTTAAAAATGAGATTTCACCTGAGGGAAAAGATTCACTTCTAAAAGATTCAGTTGAACCAGGTAAAAATTTTAATTTTTTTATCAAATAAAATATTTG